AGGAGAGCCAAGTCACAGTATAGAAAGACCAAAGTTTGAACTCAATCTTAATCTGACAATAATTGACCCCCCCACCACCAAAATGAAGACTGCAAAGCAACAGTAAACATCCTCTACTTATACGGCACTATTAGCTGTCTCGTTTTGATGTTGAAATTGTAATGTCATGTACATAAACTGTGGAACAGCTGCTAGTTAATGTCCACTGTTGTTTATGGACATGTATGTACACATACAGGACTTTCAGGAGTTTGGCCCTGGTCAGTCCACTCTCTGCCCTGTGTCTGTGTTTATTAATTAACATGACGTGTCTGTGTGTGAGTGAGTTTTACATCCTAATGAGTAATTAATTTCAATTCGTGAGGCAGGTTTGAATCCAGCCACGGGCTTCTCTGTGTGGAGTTTGCATGTTCTTCCTGTGTTCATGTGTGTTTCGCTATATAATGTGATATTTCTAAATGTGTACTTTTGAGTTTTTTTGCTGTGTAAATGTATAAGTTTTATAAACTCATGGCTTTGGCTAAGCAAGAGGCAAAGAAGTGACAAGAGCAGCTGCACAATCAGGTCGTAGCTACTCTGATGATGAAAACATTTGGTAAATGTTCAATAATGAGACACATGTGTGGCTTCTGTGCTTGTTTTTGTCAACTAGCAGCTCATTAATATGGAGGTCCTGAACGCTCAACACCCTGAAACTTAAGAAGACAGATTATACATACATATTATTTAACACATCTCAGACTGAACATCAGCAGAGAAGGAGCGTTATAAGCTTTGTAAAGGTCGATCTAATGGCACGACTGGTGGTTGTTACGTTTGTTTTGGCTTTTGTTATAATTACATTTTCTTATTTACAGAAAGGACCTGAATCTGTGGAGGCCATTATTAAATATCTGTACTCGGCTGCAGCTTCTTCCACTCTAACTGAGATGTGATGATGAACCACGTTTTGAACATGCATGAGCACGCTGGAACCAGTTACCTTATACGGTTTGTGGTTAAAAATGATTAGTGGTCCAGTCGTCAGTGGTGCTGGTTGGTGCCTGGTTTAATTTGATTTCAGTGCCTCCAGAAATAAAATACTGTGGAGGTAAATTTCCCAGATTGTGCAAAGAATAATTTTATAAATGTAAATGCATCACACATTTGTACTGAAGTAAATCACAGCTAATTCTGTAGAGTAAAGATTATGTTGAAACAAACAGCCATTTTGGAGATTAAGAGTAAAAACACATGAACATTTTACAAATTACAAAAAAATATTTCTATCTTCATGAAGAAATAATTTATTGCAGGGCTGTTTCACTGGACTGCAACAGTTTTAGTTTCAGTTTTAGTCACAAGGTGGCAGCGTTGGCTCACAATACAAGAAGAATTTGGTCTTTACTTCTGGGTTTTTTCACACGTGTACAACTTGTGAACAACATGATCTGCCTTTTCCACAGGTTTCTCTCTGTAGTTCTGCATTTCAACCACGATGGAAGCTGAGATGTTCCTGTGATGGTGTGTTATATTTTATAAAGATGTTTTTCCTTTCCAAAGCATACACATCTGCCCTCATGGAGTCCACTGCACCTGCCCCGCTTAGCAGATCGGCCAAAAGATCCTCATGGATGGATGAGGCAGTCAGCCTTTGTCGGTAAACGGTTTGACACAAATGATCTTTATTAATGAAGGCAAAGCCAGATCAGTCCTACAACTTATATTATCCTCGGTCAAAGACATACTCAGTCACATTTGTCTGTTTGTAAGATATCTATCTGTGTGTATTTTCATGTAGAGCCAGTAAATGTTATTTAAAAAAATGTATTAATATAGTATAATAGCTACTCCTGCCAGACAGTAAAGTGTAGTGATGTTAACACAGCACCTCGTTAGTGAACACTCCAGCTGTCAGTTTTTGGTTGTCATGGTGATTGATTACGTATGATTATTAACCACACGCCAGTATTTTGGTTTCTACTCCAAGATGATTAAGAATTCACGCCTTTCCTTTTTGGCAATACAAAGAGCTTTCATTTGATATCTACAGTCCACCCAAAATGGCATGTAGGCATGTGCGGATCGATCGATATTTGTGATACCAGCGTCTCCTGCTCTAGGATCGATACTCACATAAAAGGATCAATATCTAAACTCAGTAATTTGGAGTGAGTGTTTTATCATAAGTATCTTACTGTCACCAGGATGGTCTAATTATAGGCCACTCGGTTGATAGGAACTACTTTTCCTTCCACTGTGAAAACAGTCACGTCTGGCTGTAATTTAGCTGTGAAGGTAATAATGACGCTGTGCGTGATGTGTGTGCAAAGACAGTGAAATACTTTGGCAACACCGCTAATTTATAGATATATGCATGAAAATAGAATATAATTAAAGAATGACAGTTTTATGCAGCCATCATTTTGAATTGGTAAGGCTACAGGCTGCTCCTTATTTCTCCCAAAGACAGAAACAGGAGGTCACATTAAACTAGAAAGAAAATATGCAAGTTATTAGTATCGGTAATACCAGCCTGGGTATTACTTTGTAGTCAGTTGTATGGAAATTAAGTGGCATCGCAAATCACTAGTTTTCACCTTTAGTGGGGACTTTAAATATTTGTTAGTTTTAGATTGTAGATGCATATTAATCAGTGGCCATTTATCACATAGCATTTAAGAACTTTACAGTCCATAATATGAGGAATGAGCTCTTAGAGGTAGTTGGGTGGCTCTTAAAAGAGCCTTTGGTTGTTGTGTTGTTAGAGGATCGGGTTTAGCCTCCGAAGCCGTACAGGGTGCGGCCCTGCCTCTTCAGAGCGTACACCACGTCCATGGCGGTGACGGTCTTCCTCTTGGCGTGCTCGGTGTAGGTGACGGCATCGCGGATCACGTTCTCCAGGAAGACCTTAAGCACCCCGCGGGTCTCCTCGTAGATCAGACCGGAGATTCGCTTGACTCCGCCGCGGCGAGCCAGACGGCGGATGGCGGGCTTGGTGATGCCCTGGATGTTATCACGGAGCACTTTGCGGTGCCTCTTGGCGCCTCCTTTGCCGAGTCCCTTTCCTCCTTTTCCGCGGCCGCTCATTTTCTCAGCGTCTAGTTCGTTCCGAAGAAAAACTGGTAGCTGACGGGTCCTGAGCGCCGGTACTTAAAGTCAGTCTGCGGACGTAGTTGAGGACTAACGGCTCAAGCGCAGCCCGCCATTTTCCCTGTTCCCCTCCAAGCTAGAAACTTTGAGCCGCCGCACTTCCTGATAAGAAACATTCCTTCAAAATAAAAGTACAAACTTGATACTGGCCCTCAGATTTTCACAAGAATTATAATAATCGAATTCTCAAATGTTTAACATGTTCTACATGCTAACAGGTTCTTTGTGTTTTGATTCATTTAGTTCAAGTCTTTTACACCAATTTCACCTACAATATTGACTTTTTTTGTTTTAGTATGTCACCATACTGCTTTGATTTGTGCAGTTGGATATTGATAACAGGGTTTGGAGCCATTTCCCTTAATTATATATATATATATATATATATATATACACACATCATTTTAACAGCAAAAGTGAACTATATGTGTAAAAATAATTGTGCTGTAGCTCGAAACACACTACTCAGACTTTAGCTTTATTCATGCTGAGTTAAAATAATAAGACATAGTGGAAATAAATAAAAGTTTTGAGATGTGATATCAAAGTGGACATACTTTTACATAAAACTGATGTTTCATAAATGAATGCATTCATGTGTAAATAAATATGCAGAAGAGGGAAAGTTTAAGGTGCTTGAGTGCAGTACCGGTCAAAAGTTTTAAAACACAGGGATTTTCCTAGTTTTTATTGAAATCTAAACAGTGAAAAATCTTAAATGGCACAAAAGTAAACAGCAAACTGCTGAGTTAAGTTAAAAACAATGTTTATGTTACCAAAACAGACATTTTCAGATATAAAATTAACAATGAAAACAAAGTAGAATCGTTCATTAATGTTTTTTATTGTAGGATCGACTGCTTTGCCTTCCTCCATAAATATTATAGGATTATATAAGATATATAATATAGGACAAAACAGGCTGTTCCAAAGTGTTTACTGTATAAATTTGTTTTTACATCAACTTTTAAGGCCTCATTTCCTTCCACTGCTGCAGAATAACCAAAGAAGGAAAGACAAAGTTTAGGTCAGTAAAACTGAGAAATAATGTAAATTAATGAGTTAACAGCTTCAGGTTATTCTGCAGCAAACATATTTAATATTATCAGAAGGTAAGCGGCACCAAACAGCAAACTAGAAAGTTACTTTGCCAGATGCCACAAGATATACGGTGAATTAACAATGTTATGAGTTTTATTCGGCTATATCTGATCAAGCTTATTATCTGCTTCTAACACCGGCGTCATTAATGACTCCTGATGGAGCGTGAGCGCTCAGCGTCGTCGATGCCCTTTTAATAAGTCACAATAACCTTTTTTCACACAGTTAAAGCTAAAATTTCTAATTGTAACTGTGGCTGCACCCAGTTTAAAGTACTCAACTGGTTCAAATGGCTTTGGATCAGCTGACCATTAACCCTCGTGTTTCGCTGACATTGACCTTACACGTAACTGCTGTGTGAGAAATCATAATGACAATAATTCAGCTTAATAACAACCAGTTTGTTCTTCTTTTCATCTGGCCTCATTAAAAGCCAACATGTATTAAAGTAGTAACCCCTTTCCTTTGATGACTAAAGACATAAGTTGCAATAAAATATGTAAACTAAGGAAACCTTTCATGTTATGCTCCAAGACCAAAAACACATTTGATGTTACTGATGTTTGTCAGACCTCACAGTGTTATTAGCTCCAATTCAAATAATCCTGATGGTCTGAATTAGGATTATAGGAATAGTTGTTGTGTGTAGTAAAACACCAGACAGATGAATCTCCTTAGTATTTAGCCAAGTAGCTACAGAAACTTCTTTAGATTAATTGCTGGTCTTTGTTGCTTTTTCTATAAGTAGTCGTTTACCTGTTTGTTGGGTTTTGCTTTCTGTTTCTAGCTTTGCATTTATTTTGATGTTCCTGTAAAGTGCCGTTTGTGTAACATTAAGTCAAACTGATATGTGAAAACCTGATAAGGAGGCAGATGAAGTATCTGTGGCCCACAATCATTTTAGAACAACCGCCAATAAAATCATGTAGTTGTGCAATAAAGGAGTTTGTATTGTTGTGAGTATGAGCACAGATGAAGTACTTCAGTAAGTTGACCTTGTAAACTTGGTGTCTCTAGCAAGTGGTGTTGCAGGAGTTTGCTCTGAGAGTAAGTGGGTGGCTCTTAAAAGAGCCGTTGTGTTTGTGGTTGTTTACTTCTTGGCGGGCTTCTCGGTCTTCTTGGGCAGCAGGACCGCCTGGATGTTGGGCAGCACGCCGCCCTGAGCGATGGTGACTCCGCCGAGCAGCTTGTTGAGCTCCTCGTCGTTGCGGACGGCCAGCTGCAGGTGACGGGGGATGATCCTGGTCTTCTTGTTGTCGCGGGCGGCGTTTCCGGCCAGCTCCAGGATCTCAGCGGTCAGGTACTCGAGCACGGCCGCCAGGTACACGGGGGCTCCGGCACCGACACGCTGGGCATAGTTGCCTTTTCTCAGGAGCCTGTGGACACGACCGACGGGGAACTGGAGTCCAGCACGGGAGGAGCGAGTCTTTGCCTTCGCTCTGGCTTTGCCGGCACCGGTCTTTCCTCTTCCAGACATACTGACTGTTTCTAAATTAAATTTCTGAATTCAGAATAACGTTACCGCGGCAAAGTGTGGCTTATATAGCTACAACCTGGTCGTTCATTGGTCAGATACAGCTGCAGTATGATCGCCCAATCAGAACGCTCTACGTCACGTGACTGTAGCAATTTTGAAACTTCCGCCCCGCAGTTCAGACAAAAAAATTACATGTTGGCCTATTTATTTATTTATTTATTTACAGTTTATACAGTGCAATAAAATAGAAGAAGTTAAGCAGAATTTAGTGGATGGAATTCAAAGAAAAAAGCAAAGTAAAGCACACAAATAATAATAGAATAAGAAATAAAATAAAAATCATAACATTGTAAGAACGTTGGTTACGTATTGTAACCCCAGATTCTATGAGTATAGGCGTAGCCCTCTAAGAGCTGTCGCTATTGGGTTCATCCCCGCGCGCATGCGCAGTCCTGAAGATTTCTTTCGCGCCCATGTGCCGTGCACGGGCCTCTCTCAGGTCCGCAATTTAGGTATATAATACCGGCGAGACCAGAGATCTGCTCCCAAGAGGTCAGCTTTTTTTCTTCAGCCGACGCTGGTGGGACCAGTCGGGCCCGCAGCTTAGAGGGCTACGCCTATACTCATAGAATCTGGGGTTACAATACGTAACCAACGTTCTATTTCGTATAGGCTTCGCCCTCTAAGAGCTGTCGCTATTGGGATAAGGGCGAAGCCAGATGTAGTCAATGCCCACTGGACCCCCAGCGGTCATAAGCATTAACACACCAGCTCACAGTACCCTAATCACACAATGCATGATAGAGACCAAAATGTAGGTCAGTGTTTCCGTCTGGTCTCGAACCAGGTACCTTCGGCATAGAAGGCGAGCGTCTGATCCATTACGCTACGGAAACTGAGATACGCGGCCATCCGCATTAGACCAGATAACAGGATGGCTGAACGCATCACTCCCTGCCTCCCACCTGCTGCTGTGAGGAAATTGGAACGACAGTTACGCATTGTAACCAGTCCCAACAACGAGCAGAGCAGGCGGGAGGATAGGACAACACACACGCATCCCGGCAACGGGGGGTGTGTGTGCGCACGAGAACGCCCAGAGTACAGGCACACACAGACGCACACTGCGGCTTATGTTGAGGGAACAGTAAGGACGGTTGTTACGCATTGTGGCAGTCCAACTGGAGCGCAACTAAGACAGAAGGAGCCCCAACAGCCCGTGGCAAGAGGAGCCTTACCGGCTCCTTACAGGGAAGCCTATGTGTGCGTAACGTGTCCCGAGCCAGCAGCGTCGCGCCTGGTCTCCAGAACATTCAGTACCGAGTGCGTTAGAGAAAACCCCGATGCATCGCGTAAATAGAAGCGGATAAAGGGGCAGGGTGAAGCCCATGATGCCGCTGTGCAAATATCCTCCACAGCCATCCCGCTGAACAGCGCTGTGGAGGAGGACACGGCTCTTGTCGAGTGCGCACGGATGCCGGGTGGGGGGTCCTCCCCAGCCGTAACGTACGCCTGTGTGATGGCCTCACACAGCCAATGAGCCAACCGTTGTTTTGACAGAGACTTGCCTCGTGAATGCTCTCTGTAGTGAACAAACAGCTGTTGAGTTTTTCTGAGGGCAGCCGTGCGCTCTACATAATGAGACAACGCGCGCACCGGGCAGAGACGATGAGATGCTTCCTCCGCCTCGTTTCGATGAGGAGGAGGGAAAAAACCTTCCAGGGAAATAATCCGTGACCTGAAGGAGCTAGTTATAACCTTGGGCATGAACGCTGGGTTCGGCCTCAAGGTGGCGGAGCTCCCGTCAGCTCTGATAGCGAGGCAGGATGGAGCGACTGAGAGAGCGCACAGATCGCTCACCCTCTTAGCAGAGGTCAGTGCCAAAAGGAGGGCTGTCTTCAGAGACAGCAGTCTGAGAGAAGTTTGCGGCAGTGGCTCAAAGGGGGGATTGCTCAGAGCGCGCAGCACAAGCGGTAAATCCCACTGTGGCGCCAAGGGGCGCGTGACAGGCCGCTGCCTTCTCACTCCTCTTAAAAAACGCTTAACCAGCGGATGCGCAAAAACCGATCTCTCTCCAAAGCCCTCGTGGCAGGAAGAGATGGCCGCCACGTACGATTTGACGTGGATAAAGCCAGATTTCTGTCCACCAGCAGCTGGAGGAAGGACAGAACAAGAGATAAGGGACACGAGACGGGGTCCGTGTCTCTTTCCACACACCAGTGCTGAAAAGCGGACCACTTTGCTCTATAAGAAGCAGTAGTGGAGGGAGCCCTAGCGCCTTGGATGGTGCGCACCACATTAGGGGGCAATCCTAATCTTTCAAGGCGCTCCCGTTCAGGGGCCAAGCCCACAAACGCTGACCTATCACTGGGAAGTGTAGGATGGCTCCGTCCAGCTGTGAGAGCGCGTCTCTGCGCCACGGCAGCTGCCACGGTTTCCCCGACAGCAGCTGAATCATCACTGGAAACCATGATGCGCTCGTGCGTTCTGGTGCCACCAGAATCACTGTTAGGAGCTCCTCCTGAATGCGCGCCAGGAGGCGGGGAATCAGAGGAACCGGGGGGAAAGCATAAAGGAGCGTTCTGGGCCACGGGCTGTGTGAGAAGGCGTCCACGCCCAGTGGCGGCTCGTCCCGTGCGTTCAGTGAGAACCACAGTGCGCACTGTGCGTTTTCTCGTGAGGCGAACAGATCTATCTCTGACTCCCCGAATCTGTCCCACAGTTCCTGAGTAAGAGTGGAATTCAGTCTCCACTCGTTCTGAGACGGACCGCCGCGTGACATGAGGTCCGCGGCTCGGTTCTGAACACCGGGAATGTGGAGGGCTCTGATAGAGCGCAGGTTCGCGTGGGCCCACAGCAGCAGGCTCCTGGCTATCTCTAGTAGCCGAGCCGAGCGGACGCCGCCCTGACGGTTTATGTAAGCCGCGGCTGTCATGTTGTCTGTTCTCACCAGCACATGTTTGTCTCTCAGGAGTGGAGCAAAGTGTTTCAGCACTTTCAGCACTGTGGACAGCTCCAGGCCGTTTATGTGGAGAGATGGAGGCTGTGGCCATTTCCCTCCCACCACGTGAGAATGGCACATCCCGCCCCAGCCAATGAGAGACGCGTCCGTGTACACTGTGACATGTGACGTCACTTTCCCGAGGGGGGACCCCGCTGAAAGCACGTGAGGGGATTTCCAGTACGTCAGGTCTGACTGTACTGAGGGGGGAACGGACAGCAGGCGTCTTTTGTGCTTTATGGGATCGAGGCGGAGACGGCCGAACCATCTCTGGATTTTCCTCATGTGGAGGAGACCCAGAGGGACCACCACGTGACTGGCCGACATCATGCCCAGTAGACGCATCACAGACAAAGCCGTTACCACTTTGTGCGGAGCGATGCGTGAAAGCAGAGAGCTGAGAGCTTCCAGCCTGGCTGGAGATAATTTGGCTCTCATGCGGGCTGAGTCCAGATGCACTCCCAGATAGATTATTGACTGGGAGGGGAGAGGAGAGCTCTTCTGCCAGTTTATGGCAAAACCCAGGCGGGACAGGTGTTTCACGAGCTTCATCGTGTGTAGCGCACAGCTCTCCCTGGACGATGCCATGACAATCAAGTCGTCCAGGTAAAACAACACTCTGACGCCCGACCTGCGCAGCGGCTCCAGCGCTGTCTCCACACATTTGGAGAACGTGCGCGGGGCCAGAGAATAGCCGAAAGGCAGGCGGTTGTATTGAAACTGGGCTCCTCTGAAAGAGAAACGCAGGAATTTCCTGTGTCTGGGGATGATGGGGACATGGAAATAAGCGTCCTTTAGGTCGATGGACGCGAACCAATCCCCGGGACGTACACATTCCAATACGTGCCTGACTGAGAGCATGTGGAACGGCCTCCTCATTATGCATTTGTTGAAGGAGGAGAGATCCAGGATCGGCCTCATTCCGCCCGTTTTCTTGGGCACCAGGAAGTAACGGGAGTAAAAGCCCTCGTTCTCCTCGCCCCGCGGGACTTTTGAAATCGCTCCTTTGCTCAGGAGCTCTGTTATTTCTGCCATCAGAGCAGATGTCTCTGACTGCGATGACATGACGGTCTCCAGCACCCCGCTGAAAGGAGGAGGGGGGCTGGCGAATTGGAGAGTGTAACCCTTCTTTATTAATCTCGCCATCCACTCGTTCATGGGCAGATTTTGCCACGCGCAGCAACGCTCTGAAAGCGGGCGAGCAAAAATCTGGGGGGCCTCTGTGGACATTTCTGACAGCCAGAGAAGAGCCCTCTCCGCCGCCGTGTGAGCTGCAGAGCCGCTCGACACGGCCCATGGGAGGGCTGAGTTGAAAGGGCTGCGGCGGCGATAGTGTGAAACACTCGGGCCGCTCATTCTCAGTGTCAGACTCGTGCCACGGTGAAAAACCTCCACTAACACACACTGAAGGGTGAGAGGTGGGGAGGCCGCAGGGAGTATGGGTGGGCTGTTGTGTTTATCTGATGTGAATGTTTTTCACTCATGATAATATGAGAGAGGGACAACAGCGGCTCAACAACTGACGCAGCGTGTGCGTGCGCAGCGGAGCTTGCTTGTGTGTGGGAGACGTGCGTTTCATCAGCTGCAGGAAGCTCAGGAGAGAGAGGGGCAGGCTGACTGTTAGGAACATGCTCTTTATGGACATTTGGTTGGCTCTGAAAAGAGCCGTTGTGTCCGGCTGTTCCGGGAAGAAAACACACGTCCCCCGCGTCCCGTCAATACCTCCGCTGTTTGCGGGGAGGCTCGGCGGGGGGGTTGGACCAGGAGCAAGCCGCTCGCCTGTTCTTGACTGCAGGGCGGCGCTGTGAAGAGGGAGCAGCGGCCGCCGGAGGAGCCCGGGGGGCCTCGGCCTGGGGCGGGAGTCGCGGCGATCACGCCGGGAGCCCTGTGAGCGCCGTGGGTGTTGAGGTGGCGCTCTGCTCCACGCTGTGTGCCGCTTCACCTTGTCCGCCTCGTCCGAAGCTTGCTGCATGTGTGTGATTGCATCCTGGAGGAGCGGCCCAAACAGCCCATCGGGCAACTCCTTCCTGATC